CCCAAGTCCCAACCAGACCCCGGAGCGCGGCCCGAGGCAGGCTGAGCTTACAGCAACTTCGTGGGCTAGGATCGCTCGGCACAGACAGAGGCAAACCTCTCTCCCGAAGCGGTCAGGGCTAAAGAAGCGTGGTGCCATGGCAGCTGACACCACGCAAAAGGCGGCAAGGAATGACCAGCAAAGGTGCACAGTGAGTCGGAGTCTGAGACACCCCTGCCCATGGACGGGCGAACGCTCCAAAAGCACGGCCCTGGGCTGGAGAGCGCACCTTCCTCTGAAAGCAGTTACGCGGTTCTCTCCTCTGGGACAGAAGCACCACGACACTTTTCTAACACGACCCATCTCAGGGCGAACATTTCGCATACAAATGGCCACACCGGTCGATATCCGGCAGCTCTGTGTTACCGAGACTCACCTGACATACCGTCCTGGCAGACGTGGCGATGCTGGCTTCCCGAGCAGAGGCCAACCTGGCTGAGCGACGGCGGGCTCTCAGGCGCACCGAAGACCGCACTTCACCTGTGAGCTAGACCAGGACCCAAGGCGTCAGAAAACGCTCTTGTGAGACGCGAGCCTGGACACAGCGACTTCCTAACCGAAGAAAACCCTGTTGAGTCCTTCCCACCCCCCTCTTCACCTTTCTGGAAAGTCCCCTGTGGCCTTGTGCAAATTCAAACTAAACTGTCTTGGATTGAAGATGCAGACCTACTCTTTCCAACGGCCTCAGAAGCTTGGGGACAGTCTGTCCCCGTCACCTTATACCTCCATTTGTAGGTTAACAGATACTAAACTAGCTGCAAACGCTTAGAAGCAGTCTCCTCAGAAGGTTCTTGAACTTTTACATGGTATCTGAGTTCCTGATAAAAGGTAATATGAAAAAACAAAAAGGCATCCCCACCGCCATCGCTCCCTCCCTCAAATTACAGGTGGAAACAGTCCCGGTTCTACTGGTTTAAAGCAGTTGACTTTGGACTAATCTTAACACGGTCTGCCGCCAGTTTACTCCGAATGCAAGAGTCTTCTAATGCAAGAAAAGAATTAATGAAAAAGTAAAACTTATAACCCACGGTACGTCTGGCAAAATGGAAAAGTTAGCATTGGCTCACCCCTGTTCACTAAACTACAGATTTATCTGAATTCCACGCTTTTTCTCTTTTTAAATAAATATTTATTTTTGAGAGCGGTGTGCACACACGGAGGAGAGGCAGAGGGAAGACAGAAAATCCCAAGCAGACTCTGAGCCATCAGCACAGAACCCGATGTGGGGCTTGAACTCACAAACCGTGAGGTCATGACCTGAGCTGAAATCAAGAGTTGTTCACTTAACCGACTGAGCCACGCAGGCATCCCTCACCATTTTTCCACTAATTCCTTATTCTGTTCTGGAATGGATACCAAGTGCACGTGGTGAGCAAGGGTGGGCCGGCATGCAGGTGGAAGGGCAGGGGCTGGGGGCCGAGGGGCCGGGGGAAGGAAGAGGAAACCAATCAAAACGGAGACCGCTAGTTTAGAAATCTGTAATGGCGTCCCACCCATCCCCATCTGCAGCCCTGGAGGTCTCCAGAGGCCCCTGGAGGTGGCGGCTCACCCAGGCCATGAGATACTGGATTGTCCCATACGGCATTCAGGATGGAAGGAAAAGGAAAGGCCGTGGCCTGTGCGCACAGCGGGGACACGGCGCTCCAGGCCAGGTGAAGGTCCTGCCGGGTGGGTGCAGCAGGGTCTGGGCTCACAGCCACTTGTGGGGGAGTCTGCAGCGGTTCCAGCACGCCCGTCCTCCCTGCCCTGCCCAGATGACCCCCGAAGTCCTCCTACCTCCCAGGAGGGAACGGCCGCCTTAGTCCCAGGCCACCAACTGTCCTCTCTTCCCCTACGAGTCCTGCTCCCGACACTCCCCCTTGTGACTGTGCTCGGTGCTGGTTGAGAGACACGACTGGCCTTGAGGATGGCTGCCGCTATCACCGAGTGCTGATGTAGCTAGCACGTGCTGTGCTTGGGGCCTGAACAGCCTCCTCTTAAGAGGATGGCGGCTCCGGTGAGGGGCCTGTGTGAGGTTACACAGGGATGCGTGGCCTCAAAGTCCTCCTCACCCTGCTTCATCACGCACGGCTCTCCCCGACATGAGCTCCAGGAGCCGCCCGCTCCCCAGGGACGGAACCGGGGAGCAGCAGTCCTGGCTCCGTGCCGCCGAGGCGCTCAGGCCCTTCTGCGCAGCTGCGTGCTTCCCGATGCCTTCCAGCTTCACCTCTGAGGCGGGGGGCTCCAGGCTCCCCAGGCGGGCTCCTTAACCTTCACTTCTGGGCCCCCTGCAGAGGCTCTCTTGGCGGGTATAGGCCATCTCTCAGGAGCTGCCGTCACATCCGGCATGGCATGTCACATCCGGCATGGCATCGCGCTGGCTTCAGGTTCGTTGTGGGTGGAGCCACCCCCCAGGCGCCAGCTCCCACACGGGATCCGGCAGTTTCTTCTGCCTTGGACAGCTGCTTTGCTTCCCGTCGTCGGTCTTCTGCCTTCCAAGCGAGTGGTTAAAAACTGGGATGTCACAGGCAACACTGCGGTTTCCCAAAAGGGCAGGACAAGACTGACTTCCAACGGGTCAGCACAAGGAACCCCGCTGACCCCCACAGAACTGGCAAGAATGAAAACCATTTAAGACTTCTGGAAATGGTCCTATGGCATGCAAAGGGTAAAAGAATGTTATTCAAGACCACCCACAAAATTCAGTGGTGTATGGACTCCAGACTGCCACCAGACCGCCACCACCAGGACGCTGGGCTCCCAGGCGCGAGGCGGGTCCCACCACCCTTGCCCCTGCTGGGAGGAGGTGGGTCCAGGCCAGGAGAAGCAAGCCTTCCTCCAAGAGCTCAGGGGCAGAGGTGTCACACCAGTGAAGGCACTGTCATTTCGCCCAGGGAGGGACAGACGTAAAACAGAGTTCCTAATCAGAATTCTTAATCTGTTCCCTACAGAACTGACTTCTTTTGCAAAGAGTGTGGATAAAGCTCATGCGTAAAGGGGCTCTCCAGAACACTAGAGGTTGTGGAGAAAGGCAGTTAGAAAGAGACATCAAGATAAACTTTAGGTCAGATAGTCTGCAGGTGACAACCAGGGAATAATGCAGCTGGAAGAGCCCTCCTGGGGTCAGCACAAACATCCAACACTGACCCCAGAAACTAGGCCTTCAAAGAAGCCACAGCTAGACTGGATTATCAGCAGAGCAATTTATGCCCCAGGCTATTGCTGAAAACAATTGAGCAATCAACAGGCATTTACTGGGACAGCTGGGTGTGGTCAGGGGAGGAGAGGAAGAGCGCCACCCCAGGGAGGATGCGGGCTGCCCGGCAGGCAGGGGCGCGTCCCAGCTGCCCCGGTGAGAGGGGAAAAAGACTCCCATAGAAGAAATCTACCCAGTCACCAAATAAAAAGCCTATAAAAAATAGGCCGTGGGGGTGGGGGTGGGGGTGGGAGACAGGTACCCAGAACTGCTGCACTATCTGCTATGTCCAGGTTCAACAAGAAATGATGGCGCGTGCGAGAGGAAGGCAGATGTCTACAGCGGAACAAGAGCTGGCGATGTTCCAAGAACCTGTGATGGTGCCTGGGGTGGAGTTTACCAGAAAAAGCCTTCCAAGTGGCCATGATGAACATGTCCAAAGGCTAAAAGGAACCACAGTTAGGAATAAAAAATTTGACAATGTTGCATCCAATACAGAATGATGACGATAAAAAGAAATTATGAAAAGGAACCAAAAGGAAATTCTGTAGTGAAAAAGTACAAGAACTGAAATAAACACTTCACTGGAGGGAACTGGCAGAAGAAATAATAAGCAAACCCAAGGTCATGCAAGTCAAACGAGAAAAAAGAATGAAGAAAAATGAAGAGTCTTCAAGAAACATGGGACTCAATCAAGGGCACCAACATATGTGTAATGGGAATGCCAGGAAGGGGAGGGAAGGAGAGAAAAGATACACAGAGAAATAATGGCTGAAACTTCCCAGTTATTGAAAAAAAACAAAAACAAACAAAAAAAAACCAACCACCTTCACACACAGGAATGTCCAGAAACTAAACTCCCAATAAGAGAAATGGAAAGAGCTGTGTAAACAGACGGCGCCGCTTAAAGGCTGAAAGCCTAAGAACAGAGAACTCTTGAAAGTGGCAGAGGAAACACTCACCAGGGGAGCCCGATAAACAAACACACCGCTAACTGAGGAGGGGCAATGGATATAGTCAAACATAGTCAAAGTTCTTCAAGAAGAAATGTGCCAACCAAGAACCCTGTATCTAGCAAAGCGATCAAAGCAAGAGACACTTCCGGATAAGCGGAGAGAACGCTGCCCGTGTTTCTTGCCAGAGGTACGGGGCGGAGGGGGGGGGAGCTCTGCAGGCTGACAGCAAGTGGCCCCGAACTCCCGTTCAAGTTCACAGAAAGAGGGCGCCCTTTTGCCGATGCTTACCGACAGCGTACAAGCACGGGTGCTTCCTTTCTTGGTGATTTATAAGCGGTTGTAGAAATAACATTATACAACGTAGACAGGAATGTGCTTTGGGGTGCCTGGGTGGCTCAGTCGGTTAAGCGTCCGACTTCAGCACAGGTCATGATCTCACACTCCGTGAGTTCGAGCCCCGCGTCGGCCTCTGTGCTGACAGCTCGGAGCCCGGAGCCTGCTTCAGAATTTGTGTCTCCCTCTCTCTCTGCCCCTCCCCTGCTCACGCTCTGTCTTTCTCTGTCTCAAAAAGAAATAAAAACATTAAAAAAAAAAAAAAAAAAGGAATGTGACTTATTTGCCAGTTACAGCACAAAAGACGGGGGTGGGAGCAGGACCATTGGGGCAACGAGAGGACCACACATGGAGAAACGATCAGAACAGGTCGTTGGGTTTCTAACGCTAATAGATATAACAGGTATCCCGACATACCAAGAAAGTGGGTGAAGGGAATAAAGGTACATTTTTAGGTCTCACGACAAATCTGGAGCTTGTAGAGGCCGCTTTTAGGCAAACAGGCTGGAGCAACCGGGTGCAGAAAGGGCGCCGGCGCCCACCTGTCTGAAAACAGACCCACGAGGCGACTCCGCCCCCGGAAATAGCCATAGGCCCCAACTGGCCAATGGGCTACTTACAACCGGCACAGGTCCCGAAAAGGGAGAACCCCATTGGTGGTCACACCTCCGCTTCTTCCCGCTTTCCCGCAGCCCCGCCCACTGCCTCCCAGCAGCCCCTCCTGCACTGCGCCCTTCCAGCTCCTGGGTTCGGCCTCAGGTGAATTTTCACGCCCCGGGCCACTGGCTTCCACGCCACTGCCGCCCCACATGTGGGGGCCCCTGACCGATCAGTCACCCCATTTACACACCACAAAGCCGATTCCACTAAGTTACAATGCATACGGTGAAACCTAGAGCAACTGCTAGAAAGAAAACACAAATGCCCACCAGAAAACATTCATTTTCATCCATCTACACAAGGAACAAAGATAACAGACGTGCATAAAGAAAACAAAAGTAAAGTGGCATGCGCGCATCCAACCAGACCAGTAACTTTAAATGTGGGCCAAAAGATTCCATCAAAAGAGAGGCCAGGCTGGTAAGACCCCCCCCACCCCCCCGCCCGGAAAAGGACCCGC